AAATACGAAGCGAATACTCAGCTAAGAGACGCAGCATAATATATTCAAATGTAACTTTATTCAAGGTCTCCTTATCGGATAAATCTGTTCCTTGAAAATCAAAATCAACTTAGAGTTATGGGAAGTTGAACGAGGTCAGGTTGACTGGTTCCTTCTCCAAAACTCGAGATCGGAGATTCTATGTGGTCTCGCGTCGTGCTTCCAAATTCTTATGGCTGGAAGTTTTTTTTTTTCCTTTTGACTATGTCGTTTAATTCCAAGAGATGTCCACCTTGCTTGTCGGCGACCGTCTACCAAGTGATAACGGTTTACAATCGGTTTCCGGTATGCCTTCTTGAAGAGCAGTTCATACGCACCGATCGAAAAGAATGAGATTGGGTGCGTGTTGCCTACTCTCTTTATCCCTCTCGGAGGAAGCGATTGTCGATGAGAAGCGTCACTACAACAAGCGCAATCTTGTTTTCAGATGGAATTCTCGCCTCTGACGCACCCGGAAACGAGGTACGGGAAGTTTTTGTAGGTGAGTGAGTGCATCGATCCATTCATTTCGTTTTATGAAAATCGAACGTGCATTTCTTCGTTTTGAAGCAGCACTACTGACCGTGGCACCGCCCGAGAAGTTCTCGGTCCTTCGAATGAGCCGTATCGTGACGTTTCGCATTGGCATCTATGTGAATGCTCACATTCGGTTGGATGCCGCACGAAAAAGTTCTCATCTGAACGAATGCGACTTCTAAGTGCAGGACTTGGCGGATCTCGGCACCTCTGTGCTCGCAGTTGCTCGTTCAGTTCTGTTCGCAGCATCAGTCTCTCCTTTGAGAACACGCCTGCCCGAGTCTCGTTAACAATCCTCCTTACATTCGAGCGCTTTATCCCGGCGAGTATCTCGATTTCTCGCGGAAAGAAATGTCGCCGATCCTCCAAGCTTGAGATAAGGCCTTCCACAACCTCGACGTTGCCATGAATCCGAGCCAATGTGGGTCTCTTGCTTCCTGACTTCCTTGTCATCGTGGCTGTGTCCGTCAATTTTTCGAGTGCGCGATTCACGGTGTTAGCTCTTGTGTTCTCGTGGGCAGGGAAGCCACATTTCGCTTCGCTCTGTGTTGGTGGTGAAATCTTAGCAGAGAGCGAAAATTACGTCTGTCACTGGGGCTCACTTGAGGCTGTCTATAACATTCCGATAACCAAATGGTTCAAGTGTTGGCTCGAAGTGTTTTTTTTTTATTTAAATACGAGGGCTGCTATTGAAGTTCTCAGAATTTTTACTTCACCATTACGTAGAACGTATAGGTCATTCTACTGTCCGACTCCATATCACCATTTTCCGTATACGTCTCTTTCAACTTCTTCAACAGTAGTGAGTCCGCTGCCTAAACCATAAAGCATAGAAACCCTTAGATTGTCTCAGGCACAAATTGGTAATATTTTACGGGTGAACATGTGAAGTGACGATCCAAAGTAGGCGTTTCATATCCAAAGCAACAAAATATCTGATCAAACTTGATTCCAAGAGTGGTGCCAAGTAAGAGGAACTTGGCGGATGTGTCTACTCTTCATAACAACACTGGTGTATGGCCTCAAGGACTACACTGTGTTCGGATTGAATTCGTACCCTTCCATTGGAACGCTTCCATCGATTGCATGCAGTGACATCTTCCACGAGTGATTTCGTGGATCATCTAATGAAGTGGATGGAAGTAGTGCTTTCTCCGATATCCACAACCTTGGGCGAGGGTATCATCATGCAATACGTCATCGGTGTGTGGGAATGGAACGTCGTTCATGAGCAACAAACACTCGGGTGACTCGCCTCTGACCTTTACTTTCTAATGCAGGATGCAGTCTGGTTGTCGACAACACTTTCGTAAAATAAGCTGCATGTCTCGTCTGATTTGTTGCCAGCGGGAAATCAATATGGTATGCGTCTTCATTGCTCGAAAACGCTGATGTCATCGTAGAAGACGGTCCGGGACGTGCTGATAGGAAATGGAATGACATGTATATAATTCTTCGTAATGGTGAAATAAAAATTCCTCGAACTTTAATGACGGCCTTAGCATGACGCATTGGTGGAGATTTCTCCCATTCCTGCGACATGCCATTGCAAAAATGCCAACTCACTTTCTCATATTTTGCAGAGAAACCAGTCATGATGAATGGTGGGGTCTTCCCCTAATTCGCAGTAGCTTCACAGCACATTCTGCATCTTAACTCATCGGTTTTTGATGGTTTGGAACTCCAATGAATAAAATTCCACAGATGAGAAGAACTTGAAATGAGGTTTTAGATTATGCATAATCTGCTTCCCTTTTTGTCTTTTGAGTCCTTTTTATATCCTGTAAAACTCCGAGTCGCCTTTTTTTTAATACTTACTTCATCTGCTCCTTTGTGATTAGGAGAGGGGAAAGGAAGCTGTTGGTAAAGAATATAATGAATTTGATGAAAAAAAACTCACGACGCACTCATAATTGGTCGCACTGGTGTGTGCATGAATCAAGCATTTATTCCGCCAATTTTCGATCGTGCTTCGGTGAAGAGCAAAACAAGAAAAAATACTGATTGTATTTTCAATATCTGAGGTGTTGCACCAGATGCAATGTGACGCTATTCTCGATTGAGTTCGATATTCGACTTAACATATCTGGACCGTCGGTATGCGGAAGCACGCACCGATTTATCCAGTTTTTTTTTTCAAGCGTTCATTAATTTCCTCGATTCAACTCTGTTAATGAGACTCTGTGTCTTAACTCTATTAATATTAACTCTGTTAATATAACAACTCCGCCAATATAATGTCATGAAATCCAATAAGCGTTAATTTTCTCAGCGAGGAAAACGTTCTGAGACTTATGGGCATGACATGAACGTAATACGAATTAGGTAATATTCTGGAAGAGCAGAGTCGCCCTTCGGCGCGAACAGGCTTGTCCCATACTTCATTCTCCCATTTCAAACGATAAATTTCGAACTGTTGAAAGCAGGTTGGTCAAGTTTGTACCGATAGAAATCTGATTATTGCTCTTACAATAGAGCCACGGAAGCGGGGCAAAGCAAAATTTACAGTAAATGCATTTTAAAGGCAGTCCTCTTCTTCAGTGCAATTTCGTGTAAATTTCCAAGGTTATTCCAGTAAATAATGACTCCTGCTTCTTCTTTCCATTTCAAGTACATTTTTGGGTGTCTAGGAAAATAAGCATTTGGTATTATTGTGCTTACTAAATGCTCTGCAATTGAAATCGGAGCAGCGAAAACGAATCGCCGTCTAGATAGAACTTGGACTGCATTGGAGCTAAAGCAGCAGGAATTCCCAGGCGTGTGTTGCGCAAGGCCGTGGAGAGTATTCAAGTTGGAGAAATTCCGTCAAAATCGGTGGGAGGGGCGTTTTCATTCCATGCAAGATGATCTTTCGTCAAAAATGTTATCGAAGGACGTACTCTCAGTCGGAAAGTGTCATCTTTAGCTCGAATAAACTGTTAAATGAATATGAATGTTTGAATCGGTCAAGCGAATTACGGGAAGCGCTATATGAGCTAAAATGAGGGAATGCGAGGTTTGGCATGAGTCTCTATTTACTCTTCTTCGGTTTTCAGACAGGGTACTCAGTTCCTGGTCTATGGGATGACTCGAGCACTAACTTCCACTCCTTTTGCAGTAATTCTCTCAACTGAAGCATTCCTTCAGTACTCATTATCCTTCCGTGTGGAGAACTTCTCGGAAGACTGCGCGTTTGACCAAGTTGTCGGCTTCCGTCACACGGCGACATCTCCTTGTGCGAATTAGTACTACTTGCTTTTACTCTTTCGGGCAGATAGCCCTAGCAATCAATTTAGTTGTGGAGCCGCGGAGGTTTGTTTTGGAAGCTCACGCGAATGCATGTCTCATGCTATAATCCCCGCGAGATTCATTCTCAAGATGGAAAAGGATAATAAATTACAGAGGGCCGCCCTTCGGCATTTAAGCTGCAACTTCAGCTAACGCTCGAAAGGTCGGAATTCTTTCTCTTCAACCGAGAGCTTCCATCATCGAATGAAGTTTTCCTGATTCGTAAAAACATGGCGTCCCACACGGGGATGTAAGGGTAGTTCATCTGGAAGGAAACGGAGCTAGTACGTAGCGGTGAAGAACTACTTGTGACGTCAAGACTTGCGGAAAAAAGAAAATAAAAAGGTAAAAGGAGGAAAGCGTTTTCCAGCTCATTACCTGCAACCATATTTTCAGTTTCGACATCAAAGGGTTTCCTCTCTGGATTGCGTCTATGTATGGGTTCCAACTACAATTTTTTTCCCATCTCTTCCGATGTGGGGGAGGGAGGAAGAAGCCCTTTTTTTTTCTCGAATTGAAAGAAACTTCATCCGAAATCGGGGTGTGAAGAGAGGGAAAAACTCGTTGACAGGTCAAACATATCAATCCGGTAAACACAGGGCCGAGTCGACAGCCCATTTGCCTACTCAATGCCTTGTTATTGCACCAAATGAGATTGCGTTCCCATTTCTTGTAGATTTATATAATTTGCGAGTGGCTGATTATGATCCGCCCGCCCCTCGTCTTCCATATAAGGGAGCACAAAGGGAATGCCGCTCTCAAAGGGAACCGCCGCTCTCTCTCTCGCTCTCTCCCTGCCTCCCTGCATTTAAATTGCATCTCTCTCAAGAGATTACGCGTTTTATTCCCCCTTCTTCTTCTTACTCTTCGTGTTCAGCCACGATCATGATATGCGAACGAATTTGTCACGTCTCCTTCGCCTTCCTGCAATGAACTCGATGGAGTACGTGTTTTGACAGGAGATTAAAAAAAGGGGAGGGAGGGAGGGAGGAAGAAAATACGAGTCTCTCACTTGACCGTTCCTTGGTCCTCCTCCCTGGGTAACCTCACCGCATATCTTCAGCAGCGGAGGAGGGCGGTTAGAAGAAAGACAAGATCTAGGCGGTGTGTGTGTGCGTGTGTGTGTGAAAGAGGGAGAATGAGAGAGAGAGAGAGAGAGAGAAGAGCGGGCTGCGTGTCTGTGAGTGGGTGAGTGTGTAGTCGCGCGGCGAGCGCTGTCCAAACCGGCCGCCTCTCTGTCTCTCTCTCGTCGTCGTCGCCGCCGCCGCCGTTGTCTCTTCTTCACCGCCGGCGTCTTTTGTTCCTTTTTTTCACACCACACCACCTCCTGTTACATGTGTGTCCTCGTGTTCCCCACGTGGAAGCATGGTGTGTGCTAAGCAGTGCGAGGAGACCCAGACGAGACGTGAATGTGTGCCGTGAAAATGCCCCACGTGAACGAGGAGGGCGGGGAAGATCTCGGTTCGGCCGATGAAGTCAAAGTTTTCAAAGAGGAAGGCGAGGAGGAGAACGAGGAACAAAACTTGACCGAGGTCAAGAGTTCCCTCATCAACGAAAGCGAAGAGGTAAAGAAATTCTGTCTCGCTCACTGTGACACTTGCTTGAAGAACTTGTTAGAGTTAAGCCTAGACGAGAGGAGGGAGGAGGCTGAGGCCTAGCTAGGCCTAAGCCCGAGTCTGTTGGCCAGGCCAGGTTCAGTTCTCTTTAGAATTGCCCTCAGGCGGAAGCCACTTGTCGCCTCCTCCTCCTCCTCCTCCTCCTCTTTTCTCCCTCTCGTCTTTTCTCTCGAATGTCTGTCACGTTGTTGCCACTAGGTCTTTTTTCTTTTTCTCCTTTTTTTTTTCTGCCCCCTCCCTGTATGGAAACAGGACAAGAGTACAGGAACCCACATCCCGACCGTCCAGCCTGGCTTTGGAGTCAAGAATGACGCAGTGGGTTTGCGAGGGGAAAGCACGTCTTTGTTCGGTAAGTTTGCCTGCCTTCCTCTTCGTCCGTCTTGCTTTTTTTTTTTTTCATTCCTTCTCCCGCTCCCCCTTCTTGTGTTGAGGGGGGCGAGGCTAGGCTTCTCTACTCCCCGCCCGTATAGAATGACTTTTTCCAGAGACAGGCACAGACAAAATCCCTCATGCCGTGCTGTGCCGTGCCATGCCGTGTCTGAACCGAAGAAACAAGAGGGGGAAAGATAAAAAAGATGAAAACGGAAGGAGCGAAAAGCCATCCATTGCCGAAACAACGAGCCGTGCAAAAAAAAAAGGGGGGGGGGGGAGAAAGGAACTTCTTTTCCTCCTTTTGTAATAGGGCCCCATGCCCTGGAAACTTGTTATTCCTGCAGCGGAAGAATAACTCACCTCTTCTTCCCCTTTCCATTTAGTCATAGAGCCACATGCACATTTCCCTAATAGGCGGAGCAGCCCTTCTAACTTGGCCGTTTTCGAAGTGAGCTCGTTGGCATAGAATGGTCAAAAACAGGCTGGGAGAGACGAGACGCATTCTGAGAAAAAAAAGACGATAAGAATGGATCGTATTGCAGATTTCTTTCTTTCCCTCCTAATCCTAATGGGGTGTCAAGAGAGGTTCCTGACCCGAGACGGGAAAATGACCTTGTCTTGTCACCCCCTGTCAATTATCTGCTTATCCTCGTCATCATCATTATCGCCAGCAGGCCAGGCCTAGAAACAAACACCCTAGCTTGTGGAATCCATGGTGGAGATTGGGGTCGCTTTTTCATTGCTTGTCGGGTTTCTTGGTTTTCCAATTTCTTTCCCTGTCCGGGGGGGGGGGGGGGGGGATTTTCAGGCTATAAACTCCTTTCCCCTGGAAATGATTCGACCCGTTTCCGGGACAAGTGAACTTGTTTCATAAATGGCAAACTTACTTCCTTCCGCATAAACCACCAGTTGCAGTCGCTCTTGCCATAACTCTTAGTAGCAGTAGTATGCTATTTCATGCAATTGAACTGATATTAATTTTTCTTAGTCCTAATTTTATTATTGTCGCAATTATTTAAAAGTGAAGGCTGGCTTATTAGCTACTTTGTTTTGTCTGATTCAACGTTTACCACCAAATGGAAGGAGTTTTACGGATTCTTCTCACTCATCGGCAACACTTCAATGTTCTTAAGGAACCTCAGCGCGAATGACTCAATTGCTTATTTGGCACGGGAGTGAAGTTGCTCTCTGTGGACAACTTACGAAATTTATTACTCAACTCATTTGCTTCTGATTGTCATTCAGTTACAATTTGTTTCCTTTGAACCAATTAACTGGAAGTTGAAGCTACTTTGCATAAGTGGGTGACGAGTTAAATTGTAAACCGATTCTGAAGTAGGCTGATTATGAAATGTCACAGGCAGAAAAATGAGGCGTTGAAGTCCTTGAAGCATGGGATTAGGAATGAGAGAGAGAGAGAAGAAATGCTTGAAAAGAAAAATCCAGTTGGCAATTTGCGGTTGATTAAACCGTTTTTATCGCCCACCCCTGGGGAAAGGTGGTTTGACGCGAGTCTCGGGTTGGATGAATTTCACCCCTTTGGATAACAAGGTATTCATTCACATCGGGAGGCAAACGACGTGACAGGAGGCGTGAATAATTTTGCCCTGTCCTGACCAACAGAGAGTGAGCACTGTGGTGCTATAGTCCCGGAAGACATTTCCGGCTCCGTGCCAAGGACGTTTTTTTGCCTCGAAATGCAAGAGAAAGAAATCGAAGAACAGAGAAAGAGAGGAAGGTGGTATGAGACGGAGAGGAAATGCGAGCTCTGGGATTCTCGAATTTGACACCGCCGTTACCACCGAGGAAGGGGAGGGAAGGGTCTGTGAAATTAATGACATCTTGTCTTTCTCCCTTCTCCCCCCTTGAAAAGAAGGAAAAAACAGGTCTCTTTAAGCTAGGGAAGAGTCGAAAATGACTCTTGACCCCCTATCTCTGCCACTGAGGTAAGGGGTCATTTTTGGTTGTGGAAAACAAGGGTTTTGTTGGGGTTTTCCTCTGGCTTAGCAGTCGGTCCAGCATAGGGAAGGATGAAAAGGTCCGTCCTCGTTGCCAAGGAACGGAAGTCATGCCCCTTTCTTCCCCATCTCGATATTGTTGGCCTGTTGTTCACAGGCGCAGTTCTTGTTCCGGTCCCAAGCCAGGGAGGATGGGCAAGCTGAGCATTGCTCATGAGAGAGAGCGAGAAAGATAAAAGGACTGCACACTCCAGCCTGTCCTGATAAAAAAAAAAAAAAAAATAGAAGGCCGGAAATCGGGCGACACAAGACAACTCACACTTCAAGCCTTATCGAGGAAAAAGTGTGACATCATCCCTCATTTTTCCTTTGTGCAATCCAAGCAGGAATGCCTACCAACGGCCAAAGAGGAGGGAAAGAGAACTGGAGATGTTTTTGCGGAGAATGAGGAATGATATCTAGGAGACGCCGGAAGAAAGCGAATTTGCCAAAGCCCATTCTTGTAGAATAGACAGTGCGATGTCATCAGCACTCATATTTCCCAAAGACGAAATAGAGACGAAGAGACGTCTTCTCCGAAAAGCAAAGGGGAAGGAGTTGGCCACAGGACTGCAAATTTGAGGATGGAAGAAAAAGGTCCTCACAAAACTACTTGGAAAATTGGGAGAAAGCATGAACTGGAAATTGATTGGACTTGGAAGCGAGAGGGATTCCTCTTTCGTTCGAGACTCTTCCCAAATTGCCTGCTGAAGGAAACTAGTGGTTCTTTTTTTTCTTCTTTTTAATGAGAAAGAGGGGAGGGGGGGGGGGGGGGGGGCAGGTTGGTAGGAAAGAAAAGAAACGAAACCAGTTTTGCAAGCAGGGAATAGATGGACCTGTCCTTCCCTCCAGCCCTCATCCCAATCCATCAATTCAACGTGCATTTTATAATTGCAGTCTGCACTCATTTGCCTCCCAAAGAATAGGAAGAATTTGGACGGACTTTTATTTTGGCGGGCTTTGAGAGTTGTCTTGTCTTGTGTTGTCAGGGAAAGGATTGGAATTCCCGCCTCATCCTCTCAGTATGGGATACATCGTGTCTCCCTACCCCTACACCAATGGCACCTCACATCACCTTCATCACATGGTGAGTAATTTGTATCCTTTCAGAAAATATTACCCATATTCCTCCGATTGAGATAATTTGCCTGAAACCCGCGTCAAGTTTCCTTAGAAGTAGGTTTAAATTTTTCGAAAAAATTCAAACGTTTGTTTTCGAGAAATTGGGATTTTTTGAACATTTGATCACTTTCCATTTCTTTTACGGCCAATCAGTTTGCTCTGGAATTGTCGAATCCCGGAGACAGCATACCGTAGTACTTTATTTTTACGGTGCTGAACGCATCCCGATGGTTCAAGTCTTCCGGTGCAAGAAGCACGAATACTCTTTCGCTATTGCACTCTCCTTCCCTGTCTAACCTCTAAAATTGCTATCTCTCAAAATTTCTAAAGCGACTCAACTTTTTAGTTTTAGTTAGATTATTCGGTGGAATAATCCTCTACTTCCACTTGCCAGCTGTGTTTTTTAAATATTTTTAAATACTATTATAAATATCTTGTATTAGGCACAAGAGCGCACATACTCTTGAAACAAACGCTTCGTCGCATGCAATTGAAATTTGGGAATTAACCTCCCCACCACTTTAATTGACAGGTTTCAAACCATGTTCCTTTTGGAGAACTTAGTTCACAACCACTAAACCCATTAATATGCCCTAGTTTCGACCATTGCTTCATTCTGCCTAAAATTGGCATTTGGGTAACTTCAGCTGAAACTTGCCTCTAAAGCTAGAACTCAATAAGGTCTATGTAACCCCATACATGATTGGGGTCATAGGAGTTCGATAGAAATGATAAACTCCTGAGCCATTTAGGCAGCTGTCACATTGAAGTCAGCAACAATTAATGTCGTTGCTTCTTGTGATAATCGTGTCATAAAAAGTAATCGGGATCAATTATCACGAATTTATTTTCAAAGTGACATACTAAAGTTAATTAACATGGACTTGAATGTTTAAAGTGAATGCATAAAAAAATCTGCATTTCCATCGGCCTCTGCTAGACTTCTCTGGCTAGACCCCAGAAAAGTTGATGAAACAGTTATTTGTCCACGAATCTTTGAACATTGAGTCCACGTCATAATTTGTAATAAAAGCCAAACTAACCAAAATTATGTAAAGGTAAGAACCTGAAAGTCGGGTAGCTGCGTAAAATTAGTTTAATTCTTTTTTTCTTTCACCAATTTTGGTCGCGTCTCGTGACCTTCCCGCTTTTTCACTTGGAGGGGGAGGGAGAGAAGAAAGATAGAAGAATGCAATCCTCTTTTCACGCCCCTCTTTGCCATGGGTTTTCCTAGATAATCGGTCAGGAATTCTCTCTCTCTCTTCCATTCACCCATTCCACCTGCATTTCCCCTTTACACCTGTCTCTGTCCCCGTCCCTCTCCCTCTTCCACCTCCTCCCTATTTAGGTAGATAATGGGAGGGGGAGGAGGTTGTTTGGTGTGAGGGGCATACAGGGGAAGATAAAGGATGTCAATGATGCGTGGATGGAAGGGAATGAGGGGATTCCAATGGCGCTTGAAGAATCGGTCTATGCTTAACCAGGGTTTTATGGACCAAGGCAACAGCGAACCAAGGCTTCCACCAACACACGTGTTCTCCGCCCCCCCTCCCCCTCACAAGTATTTTTTTTTACATCCCCCTTATTCCTTTTCCCCCTCAGACTCGTTCTCGTCCATGTGCGTGCCGTTTTCGACACCTTGTTTCCCACTCATGACCTGGGGCCCTTCATGGGGAGAGAGAGAGAGAGAGAGGGCGAAAAAAGTACATTATAAATACGGGCTTGATAATAATAGTGGATAGAGCCCGCCGATGGCTATTAGGGGATGTCAACCACCATGCTTGGCTCATGATGGAAAGGGTTCAAGCGTGAACATCAAGAGAGTCCAGGCTTGCCTCGCCTGATCTCTAAAATGAAGGGGGGGGGGGGGAAGTCTCCTGGTTTCAGGGTAGAGAGAAAGAGAGATGGTGTTGAAAAGAGAGAGAGAGAAAAAGGACCAAGTCATAGCACCTGTTCGCGTCTCTTCCCCCGATCTTCTCCATGCCAATGGAATGCAGGACATTTTCTTTTCCCCCCCTATTTCCAATTGCACTGCCCATTATGAATCTCCCTCCCTGGGATAATTTTTCAGAAAAAGGAAGTGATTTTGGCGTAGACACACTTGCCACTGCCCCTTTCCTGGCGTGACTGAATGCAAGGATCATAGCAGTTCGGTGATGATTTTCCGCCAGGCTGACCCCAAGCGTGTCATTGGGCGTTTTTCCGCGGCTGGGCACAGGGGAGGTGGGGGAATCGCGAAAATTAATAGCATGATCAAAAGGCCAGCGCTACTGAGATTCGAAGGTGCCAGTGAGGCGCCATTGGGGAGTAAATACGAGGCCGTAAGTAGCCCCCAAGCCCGACTCTGTCTCGGACCTCTTCCCCCTCCCTTTTTTTTTGAGAAGGCGTTAGATTTCGCGTTTTCTTTGTTTATTTTATCCTTCTTGTGTCTCGGTGTTTGCTTTGTCGTCAGAAAATTCCATCCGCGTTATCTGATTTAGTCGAGGAAGCTGAGAACGCTGTGACACTGTGAAGAGAGAGAGAGATGGAGATGAAAAAAAAATCTTTGAGCACGGGTGCCCCCTGCATGGATTGTGGGGGGTTCTGTGTGTATATGAAGAGAAGGCAGGAAAAACAAATAACGGGAATATATCAGGGAGGCACATATCCTGTTTATTCCAGGCAGAGAATGAGCCAGGGATAAGGTGGAAGGTAGAGGTGGAGTCTGGAAGAGGTATAGGGAAGGCATACGGTAGAGAAAAACAAAAAAATATATAACAAAAAAAGGCTGGATGGAAGGGGCAAAGGTGGAGTGTGCCATGCGTGTGTCCCTCTTCTCATTTTCCCATCATCATCCTCATCATGAAGGGCATTAGGCCTATCAAAGTTCTTCCCCCCCCCCCCCCCCCGCTCCGGTCTTGTTTGAGAAGCCGCCGCTGTGAGGACGCGGAGCCGAAGGCAGACTGGCAATGGGCATACCGAAGGAGGAGGAGGAGGAGACAATGCGTTGGCCTTGACTAACAAGGGCGGAACCAATCTCATGGACAGTATAAATCCGTGTCCCTTTATCTGTCAGAACCCCTCGGCTGAATGACGGTGATTTCCCGCTGCATTTGACTCTGAAGGGGAGGGAGGAGGAAAGAAAAAAGGGGGGAGGAGGGGAGAGAATGGAATGTGGTGGATTTCTTTTTGGGTAGAGGGTCTTGGTCTTGGTTCCGCCCTTGTATGTGTGAAGGAAGGCAGGGCAGGCGGTGCGGCGTCATCATTCATTGTAAGCAGCGCGGGTAAGAAGAGCCTTCTTCTAGCCTCTCCCTATCCCCCTTCGTCCTCTCTTCTCCTTCAGTTGCTTCCACCAGAGAGAGAACAAACATTTGCTTCTTCTCAAAGGGAGAGAAGGACCCCCTGGCCCTCTACTTGACTCCTTCCAAAGCACGGGGCCAGGGGAAGGGAAGGAGACGTGACAAATGCCTTTTATGACCGGATCATCGTCTTTTCCATAACTCACCCACGAATAAGACCCGCCGTCCGTCAATCATTTTCATGCCCAGGTGCGGATATCGTACCCCGAGGGCCAACCCAGGCGAAGATTATCATCATCATCATCATCTCTTTCCCTCCCTCCCACCCATGACCAAAATCATAATTTACACTTCCCGTGAATCCACATTCACTTCATTGGGAATCCTTTCCTTTCTTTTCTTCGTTGCCTTGATTGAGGTGTGAATGATTCCCCTCCCACCCCCGTGGGGAGACAGGTTTATATATATGTATATATAATTTTTCTTTGGAACAAAGACTTGTTTTCCTCGATGCGGGGGCGGGTGTGGAGAGAGGCGTGGTTTGGAAAGGGGGGAGGGGAGGAGGAGAAGAACGTGTGAATCAGGGAATTAATGGGCTTGGACGAAGTGACTGCTAGGGCCCTAGGGGGAGATAAGATTCCTGCTTGGAGCCAACTGAAAAAGTGATAAGGACTCTCCATGAGAGAAGAGAATGATCCTGTCTCCCTGTCTGTTTGCATGGAGATAGTGTGGCAGTGGCCTGCCTGCCCTTTCTTGTTTTCTCAGCCATACTTCAACACCTCCTCCCCCCATCATCAAGACCTATCTGGTAGTTTCATGACAGTATAACCTATGCAGTTTCTTTGACGGAAATCCAGGAGTTGAATCAAGTCCGATGAACGTATTGTAAGTTCTTAGGGGGAAAATAATGGGCCGGAACGAGGAGATCCAGGTTACGTGGTGTATAATTTTCTCTCCCAAAAGCGTGGAAACTTGTCAGTCACCTCTCATCATACCTCATTAGAGGGGAGGCATAACAATAAATTAGGATGTGTTGAAGTTGTCAGAATCACAGACACCGAATCACCGTTCTTCAGCTAGACTCCTTATTTGCTTTTCCCTATGAAGGAAAATTTTGGTTTATTTTTCTTTTTGCCGTAGAGGCTAGGTTTTTTAGTACTCCGAAAGAAAAGAGGTGAAGGGGATGGTGATCCCACGAGGATGGGGGGTCTTGATGTATCGATTGTGCACGAGGGAGCATTATGCCCCTTGCTCGTGCCAATCAAGGGGAAGGAATCAAGTGGTTACCATGGTGACGGTCCCGTCCCCAGATCAATAACGCTCTCTCATTGGTTCATGCTCAGCTCTCCTCAGCCAATCCCCTTTCCCTGTGACCTTTTTTCTTCCCTTCGTGTCATGGCCCAGGCCTGAGCCTCAGGCTTTCCTCTTGGTTTTTCTCTCCCCCCCCCCACCATTACGGCGCGATAATCATCACACAATGCTGGATTTCTAATTACTCCTGACAACCGGACCATTGTTTATTGTCCCTTTCACCGAGATGACGGACAACGGATAAAATCCTCGAAGCACTGGTCTGAAGCTACGACGACGCNCCCCCCCTCCCTCCCTCCCTCCCTCCCTCCCTCCCTCCCTCCCTCCCTTCGTTTCCCTATGCCTTTTCCTGCCCTGTTAACGAGGAGTGGCGTCG